GATAATCACTTTTATCCAGTGCGTCACGTTCCAGATATTTTCATGTTCCTTTACAGTCTCATTGGATATATCTGCGATGTGACATCTAATCTATTTTCTTTTCTTTGGGAGAAAATGATTCTCGTTTTAAATCTTGTTTTAATCATGACCTCATAACTTGATGCAGAAGTGTTTCCTCTGAATCTCTAAATTAATTCATTGCGTACGAAGTAACATACTAGCAGATGAAAAAAGTGACGATAAACTGTTTGATCCTGAAATTTCCGATTTTCTTTCTCCCGTGACCTCTCTCTTTCTACGCGTCAATTTTTATCCGCGAAATATTTGAGGAATCTACTTGCGAGCCTATCAACTTGTCTTCCCGTTCTCTTGCTTCTTTTCGCGGACCCATTCGCTGAGAGAAGCGATCCCTTTTCTTTTTCCCGCTCTATGGCAGACGTTTCTCCCTTTCTCTCTCCTTCGTTCATTCGTTCGTTCTGCAAACCGGCCGGTCGACCGAAAGAGTCCAGCAACATTGCTCTCTCGTCACTGTCTATCCGAGCAGACAGCGTGGAGCTGCCTTCGAGCAAAGTGAGGGCGTCTAATGAGGCAATAAATAAGTCGACCGCCCTAACCGGCCTCTCCACGCTTTTCGTTCGCGACGCGAACGTGTCCATCCTCGAGTTCTTTTCTTGCCTCCGCGTACGCGAGGTAGGGCCTCCTCGATTCTAGTCGGGTCTTCTTCTCTTACCCTCTCGGCCGTTTCGCTGACTCCGATTGTCGTCGATTAAACCGAGTCTTCCCTCGAGTTTTTTTCCTCTATATAGCGGATCCCGCGAGATTTTTGCGAGGGTAACTTTGCAAGAAAAGAGGTACGAGCATATATAATATAAGATTGACAGGATCTGTTAAGCCTGTTGTGTTTTTAAATTCGTCACGATAGATTTTGTTTCGATAAGTGAGTTGTTCACGAAAATTCATACGTCGCCATGAAACCTTGTAATTAAATGTTTCATACATGAAAGAAGGAATTAAATTTTTTAAATTCTTTTATAAGTTATTGCGCGCATCCCTGACAATTATTTTAAGCGAAACGAATAAAGTGTCGGTGTAAATGCAAACGAATAATGTCTGTCCTCGATTCTAGTCGGGTCTTTTTTTCTTATCCTCTCGGCCGTTTCGCTGACTCCGATTGTCGTCGATTAAACCGAGTCTTCCCTCGAGTTTTTTTCCTCTATATAGCGGATCCCGCGAGATTTTTGCGAGGGTAACTTTGCAAGAAAAGAGGTACAAGCATATATAGTATACGATTGACAGGATCTGTTAAGCCTATTGTGTTTTTAAATTCGTCACGATAGATTTTGTTTCGATAAGTGAGTTGTTCACGAAAATTCATACGCCGTCATGAAACCTTGTATAATTAAATGTTTTATATATGAAAGAAGGAATTAAATTTTTTTTAATTCCTTTAAGTTATTGCGCGCATCCCTGACAATTATTTTAAGCGAAACGAATAAAGCGTCGGTGTAAATGCAAACGAATAATGTCTGTCCGTAGAAAGTTACAAAGTAGCAATCGGCACAGACGGAAGACGAATGGCAAAACGTAGCTTCTGACCATTCCAACTCCCATTAACTCGCCTCCGGCGATATTAATAGGCGCGGGTGCAAAACGTCCGCGTATAAGCGGCGCTCGTCAAACGCGACGTGTTTGCTATAACGTCGTAACTTTATTATCCGCCTCGAGGATTGGTCTTTTAGTATCGACGCACAGCGGCCCTGCCGTTTATTTAACTAACCAGGGTGAGATACGCTACGAAACAATCTTTGAAGTCAAAAGGTCGAGTAAACTTTCGACTACAGAGGCTACACCTTCGTCTTCTCTCACGACATACTTTATCCCGGAAATTATTGTATCATTAAAAATTAATGAATCCAATAAAATAGTAGAGCGAGACACACTTTGATGAATTTTTGCCGCGAGTGGCGCCAAGTTTTATTTTAATTTATTTCTTACACTTCGATCCGCGATTTATTGATGATCACTATTTTTAAATCGTTTGGGCCATGTGCGCTCTCCGACAGAAATCGATTGATAACGTCATAGCGCGACCATAAAATTCACGGCAACGCGCAGCCGAATATTTGAATATGAATATCGTTTTATTGTGGGCCATTTAGAGATATCTAGCTTATCGTTTTATTATTATTTCTCAAATTGTCTATGTAAATATACACGACCAGAAATCGAATGTGTAAATTATATATTTTAAGGTTCGCACATTCGCAAAAAATGTGGAAATCTAAAAATTTATTTGAACAGGCCTTGTGTATAAAGCGCTATTCGTGAATGTTTACCATCTTCTCAGCAGGAGCATATCTACACTTCCACTTTTGCCCACTCCTATAAAATTCATCATAAGGCTTCTTTACACCGTCACAATAAGCCACATTTAATACAATGTTTAACTTCTTGCGTACAAGCGCGACTTTTCTCGGAAGAGCTATATCTATGTCATTCATCCATTATCTTGCGGCTAGAAGTTTCGTTGCGTTCTCGCGTAGATTGATGCCAAGTCGAGAAATAGTACATACATTAGTTCCAAGAAGAGTTACTTCGTAACAGCTGGTCGTGATCTAGGAAAGCTGGGAAATACTCGTATGTATAAGATTGAGGACATTAGAAAAAAAAATGAAGCATTTATATAAGACTGCGGGATGGAAAATTAAAATTGCACTCGAGGGAAGGAAGATGTAGGCATATATTAAGCCGAGAATTTTAATAATATATTTATAAATTTTAAATATGCCGCATACGCAAGTGTTTTTCGATACGATAACAGGGTATACCGTTTTTTTCCTTCGACGCTTGTCGTCCGTCAGACTCTATCGGGATCGGGGTCTTTAACAGGAATATCGACAAGTCCAAATTCCTGCGCGGCTTGTAGTCTGTCAGTGGGTCTGATCATCCCGCGAGACATTACATACGCTATATTTTGCTCCAAGGAGAGAAAGAGAGAAGGCTCTTTTTTTTTTCGAGATCGAGGAATTTCTCGTGAATTTTCGTTTGTCAGTAGACTTAATCATCCCACGAGACATTACACGCGCTATATTTTGCTCCAAGGAGAGAAAGAGAAGAGACTCTTTTTTTCCTTTATCTCTTCTCATCTCTTTGTCTCGCTCATGGAATTGCTCTTCGAGATCGAGGAATTTCTCGCGAATTTCCGTTTGTATATCATCTCGTCTATCGTTCTTGCCGTCGTCGCCATTCTCCGAGGTAGCAATTCTCTTCGCCCAAATGACGATGTCACTCTCGTGCACGACTCTCCGCGTCGTATTATCTCCGTCGCTTCTTATTCCCCGTTCGTGCAGAACGAAAAGACGTCGGGCAGCGCGAGCAACCGTCCTTAACGGAATTATTGCCATTAAGGTCGTTGCATTCCCGAGAGGCCGTCGTGTGTACGCACCCCGGCATCCTACCGACGCAGAACTAATGATCTTAATTAACGTTTCGTAACGAAGGTCGCCCAGACTGTCCTCTTTCTTTTTCTTCCTCTCCATTTTCTCTCCTCCAACCCTGCCTGCGTCGTAATCGTTTCTCTCTTTACCTTTCCGCCTTCGTCCGCGCTTCTTTCGCGCTCATCTTCCTCTACTTCTCTTCTCCTGGTACTCTTCTGCCTCCGAGTCGTCGTCCTCCTCAACTTCGTAGTTCCCACCGCTCTCGCGCACTCACTCCGGAGTTCCATTCCGCTTGATTTTTCTTTTCCTTTTTTTCTTTTTGCACTCTCTCGCAGCGCAATCATCCGACCGTCTCCTGCCTCTTCGCACTCTCTCGGCACACTCGTTCGTTTCTTTCCGTTTCTCTAGATCGTCTTCTTTTCCTCCCTCCTCGGAAACATTTCTCTTTTCTTCACGGCTTCCTTTTTCGTTTATAGGATTACGTCGGAGCTTTAATTATATCGGTAATGGCGTTAGCGTGTTCAGATTCGAGTGTCGTAGCGTAATCGTCCTTCTTCTTCCTCCTCGTCGAGTTCTTTTCCTTCTCGTTCGTTATTAGAGTTCCGCGGGATACAATCGTGATTTCGCCCTATTACTCTTCGTCACCTTCCTTGGACTGTTTCGTTCAATCATTAAAACCGCCGTAATAAAGTTTATTGGTGTGTTGTGCCGCTGGATAACGTCTCTGAAGATGTCTGGTATATATTTAGAGCAAAGAAAGAGAAAAGTAAAAATCGTGAAGAATAACGACTTTCCTCGGCATAATAATCCTACATTGCGTCGACCGCAATTGCATGCCACGATTGCTATATAATTCATTCATTGTTATCGTAATAAATTATTAAACTGACCACATAGAGAAAATTAGTCACAATTGAATGAAGTGTACAAGAATTTAAGGCGTTTTTCTTAATAATTTATTGTTTTATTATTATTATTAACTCGTTAGAATGCAAGATTTAATTAACCATGTAGCAGATGCGAAAATTAATAATATCAAGGAATACGTGTCGGGGAATGATAAATTTGTCAGGCAATAATAAAGTAAATCTGACTTGTCTGTAAATGGCGAGGCTTTGACTGATTTATGAGACACGATGGTTATGCGCTTTAAGAGAAATAAATTCTGATACAAACACGTGTGATTAATCGCGAGAATCGGAGCTGCGATGAGACACAACACTTATACCTGCTCCAAAGAGAGGGAGAAAGAGTTACCATAGATCTATCGAGCTCTAAGAGAAACGAATAAGCATAAACCGCGAGAACTTCGCTTAATCTTGCGCTAGTGTAAAATTGTCTCTTCTACATTGCGACTGAGAAAATATTGTGCGGTTAAATAATTGCTAATTTGGCCGACATCATTTCAATTTTTACGTTGAAGCTGCTTCATTTTTTGTCCTCGAAAAGTGCTATATTAATATTTTTCTAATTATTGCTAAGAAATTACCGAATTTTTGAACAGATGCGCAAAATGCATATACATGTGTATTTGAAAATTGGATTTTTGGTTAATTTTTACAGGACCGTAGGAAGCACACTGGTCATGGATCCGATGCTCGTCTGTAAGAAAATACGAAGACTGAAGGGGAAACTTGCTGATATTTGCCGTAAAGAGCCATCCCTGTTGAAAGAAATTGCAAGAGGTGTCCAAGTAGGTACTAGGGAATGTCAATATCAATTCCGGAATCGAAGGTGGAACTGCACGACCATCAGGAGATCTCTGAAGAAGATGCTGCTCCGCGGTAAGTTTCATCGAATTACACAAATTTGACGAAAAAAATCCAATTAACAGATTTACAAATCCAGAATTCTAAAAGCAATTAAAATTCCAGACATAATTCGATCAAAGCCGGACTTGTATATATTTATTCAATCGGATTTTTTTTCTTACTAAATATTATTATTTCTCGTATGAGAAACGTGGGGGACAAATTAAACATTATTCGCGCGGATTTAAACCTCACCGCGTCCTTTTGCGCACATCGGATACTCGATCCCGTAATAATTCGTGAATCCGGTTCGCATTATTCGCGAGTCACGGGCGCAAGATCGAGGCTCTATTCCGGGCCTCGCCCTCTCGCCGAGAAAAGGATTTCGGGTCCCGCGGAGCCCTTTTCAGGAGCGAGAAAAGAGCCTAAGCACGACAATGCACACACTAGCGGCAGATTACAGGGCGCTACTCGTTCGACATTAGGCGAACCGGATGTCGATTACACACTCCCCTACGGGCCCCTGAGGGCGATTCGTTACGATTAAATGCCGGTGCGCGATCGGCACACCTCCAGAATGGGCTACTTCTTTAGGACCTTTAAGGACCTTTCTACGTGCGAGGCCTCTCTTTCTCTCTCTCCTCATGTCGAGTCTGACGTTGACCACTCTATACCGATTCGAGTGTATTAACGATCGTAAAACACGATGCGCACAATAGCCTCGATATTTTTACTTCGGATAATCGACGATTATTCGGTCAAAAAATTATTAAACATTGCTTTGCTTATATATGTCGTGTTTTACACTTTTATTTCAATTATATTCACATCTAGTCATCACTTTTTTCTTCGAAAATGATATATATATATATGACGGAAGAGAGTTATATCTTTATAAAAATATTGAAGGTAAACGAGGGAGAAATTTAAAAAAAATTGACAAGAATTTACATATATATATTTTTATTGTAACGTTTTATGATATAAGTTTATTCCGTTGACTCTGAAGTTTGGATACATTACAGAGATGCGCGCGCGAATAAGTGGTAATTATTTTTAAATTAACCTTAATGGGAGATCTCTTGGATGTACAGTTTCGGTGGCTAGGAAAGAGAGATAATGACTACTGTCTTTAATGGTAGGACTATTTCGACACGTATACAACTATGAAATCAAACTGTAAGGTGTCATAGCAAACAGCAGCGTGTAAAAATATGATAATAATGATAATCGCTATTACCAACTACGAGAGTGATGGGAATGTTGGGAAATAAAAGTTCAAGGAACTACGTCAATTATAGATCATTCATGTCTAGACCCGCGTTCGTGCCATTATCATCTGTGTGTCAACAAATTGATTCTCGGTGACTTGCTTGTTTCATCAGCGATTTACACCAAAAATAAAGGTGATTATACCAAAACAAAGAGAAAAATTTGATCAAATTTTGTTAGCTCTCAATAATATTCCTAAATAATATTTCTATGACAAATAAAAGATATAAAAGAGACTACATTTATATATGAAACTTTTTATTTATAGGACTGTCAAATTATTTTTCTCCTCGAGAGATCGCATGAGATATAAAATAATTTTATTCCATCTTATTTTTTATATTCCAATGTAGCGCAGGACTAGTAATTTTTTCTTTGTAATATATTTGCACGAAATACACCTATTGAGTCGCGGACTACGGGAATCTGTAAACAAGCGCGAACGGATTTCAGCTAGACCATCGATCGATTGATTCTTACATATATTTCAAATACTTCTTTCCTTTTCTGTCTTTTTTTGCTCCACGAGGTAAATCCGAACCCGAAACGCTTGACGAAAAGTGAAGCTGTCCGCGTGACTCGATACATTAATTCCGGATGATTGGCCACGACAACTAAATCGAAGACAGCATGTCCAATAGACTGTGCTGATCTCTAGGACTCGCTATCAGATCGGTGTCTTATGGTAGCTTGACAGATTGACACTGTCCGTCGGATATTAGTGGCTATATGTTCCCCTAATTAAAGCCTCACTGCCACGACGGGCCGTGCCTCGGTCGCGTTTTCTCTTTCATCCGCGCTCTCGCGATCTAGAGATCGCCGTCAATCCCATCGATCGTGATTCGATGCAGGATCGTCGAGGGCCTCCTCAGGTAAGATGTTAAGCGCGGACGCGCGTGGAATCCACGCCCGACGATCGATGATCGAATTAAGCACGACACCGCCGAGGATGCCTGACGATCGGCATTCGCTCTCTTCGTGAGATGCGGGAGATAGTATATTATTAACGAGACAGCGCGTCCATCGGCCCAAATAAAGCGAGTTTAATTAAGCGAATTAGTCTCACACTCGGTGCTCCCATTTATTTTTGTTCATATTTCAGATGTTTAAATTTTCTGAACTTTCTGAAATTTTTCGAACAATATTCTGTCATTATTTCCTATCATACACATACATACTATTGGATAATGTTCAATGTTGAATGATTTATATAAAATAACTGCTTAAAATATGAAGAAATTCTTTAGAAATATCTAGTTTTGGATCGAATGAATATCTAAATATTTGATGGATTTTCTGATGTGTATGGACACATCTATGCATGACTGTGCTGTGTATTGAATGTACATATCGATTGTTCGGCACTTTAATTACGATACTTCTCGCGAGACAAATGCTGTAATACTGTTTTACGATCAGTTCGGCATCGTCGAGATAAGCTGATGGAATAATCGAATACAAATTGCGCTTAAAAGCATCTTGCTGACACGCTCCGCGTGTCTTCAGTCGAAATAAGATCGACGCGATCCTAGAGCGCGCTGTAATATCTAAGATTAACGACGCGTAATACTTGATTTTCAGCGTGTCGGCATTTTAATTGAATTCCAATTAACGTAGCATGCGTAATACGCGAGAGATGTAACGAAAAGCTACTTAGGTATCGATTAAATCACTTGGAAATCAATTGGAATATTTTACGTATAAACAATATATGATCGCATTATTTGATTAAATCCTACATTATGACTTTAAAAATTTTATATTTTCATATTTATTATTTTTTAAAATTATTTTTTTAATAATTATATTTTTTAATAATAATGATATTTATTATTATTAATATTTAAAGATAGGGAATTTAATTATAATTATTCACATTTGAAAAAAATATGTTTTAAAAATCTGTAAATCTCCGAATATACCTTCTTTGATATCATAAAAAAAAATGTCGGTTTTAATTTTTTTCATTTGATTAAGAACATCGCTATCGGATTCATGGAGTTGAAATTTATGCAGCTGGCAGGTGAGGACTTAATTTGCGTTCCACCTGGCACTTACAACCTCCTAGCCTATCAACCTCTTCGCCTCACCCCATAAAGACGCATCATAAAAACGACAAAATCAGATTGTATGCTTCATCGGATAATCGTAAAATTCGTGGTGGTATTTACGTCGTGTTGTAAATAATTTGTAGTCTTTGCTTTATGCGGTGATTTCCTATTAGGTACGAATGTATTCATCTTCGTATGTGATGAATTATTATTTCACAGCACTTGTGTCAGATAAAGCAACAAATATCCTTTTTATCTTCCATTAAATGCTCAAATCGCATTTAATGGTAACGAGAGATTAAGACAATAAAAATCATTATATTTACAAATACCAAGGAAAAATGTTAAGATTTACATAAATAAATATATTCGGATATAATAAATAAACGATAATATAATTAGGTCAATATTAAGAATAAAAAGTACACGTGATAACTCAGTTCGTCTGGGGAGAATCGTTTTGTATAGCGAAGGATTCACAATGCAGCCAAAAATGTACACTCTAAATGGTGGGTTTCACGGGAAAAGGCTGGACCGCAGATATATAAATCTCGTCTATATAGGTACTGGATGCGCTTTGGACGCTGTGGATCGATGACAGGGACCGCAATGTGTTAACCGCTCGTTCCGGGTGACAATTCTCGCCATCGTCATTTATCTGCGACTCCGCTTGCGGACAACTCGCCCTGGGACGTCCTGTGTAAACGTTACATCGTTTTTTATTGGGCCGTCCCTTGGCAGCGGCTTGTGTGTGTTCTCACTTCCGTATTTTGGGCATTGTATCCTTATTGAATTGCCATTATTAACATTTTATTATTATATTATTATATTGATATTAACTATTAATTATTAATAATGTTATTTTTAAGTATAATATTAACTATTATACTTTAAAATAACGTTATTAATAATTTGCTATTGTGTTTTTTTTGTTCACAATTGATTCTTCAGTCGAGAGTTGAATTTGTTAGATTCTTTCATCTTAAAATAATTTATTTATTATTATTTTATTGATCAAATTTATAGGTTTCGAATATTTTTTCCATCTCATACATATAAAATTAGAGCATTGCTATATATTTTAAATGTGTAAAATTGAAATTGCGCGTACAGAAATTATATCGGAGGAAAGAAAAATGCATTAGTTATCTATCGCTATTCATCTTTAGCGTAATAGTTCGTTTGTTACGAGTGCAGAATTTGGTGAATAGGATCCATTGATACACGTCGAGACTATTATCTATTACAAGCTGAAGACAGATCGCCGTTGGAAATCTCGGTAGAAGGAATATACGAGTTTCGAAGGGCCACCCGTCTTGATCAGAAAGATTTCAAGCAACACGTGGGGTCTAGCTACCGAATCCTGGTGTTCGATTGGTTGTCACCAATGTAATTTTTCTTAGGAATTTAGAAAGAAGAGAGTTTTATGAGAAATGTGAAAGCAAATGTCCTTCCTCTTTCAACAGGATAAGATAACAAATGGTCTAACCGTTTTCAGCAGATTTCTTTGTGTGACACAAACCAGGTTAAGATAATAAAATAATATTTCGTTAAAAACAGCAGAGGCATTAAAAAGGAAATAATGACAGTATTGAGAAAGCAATAACACATATATATATATATATATATAGTATATAATACAATATGTTCCGTTAGTATTTTTGGATGAGCAATCTATGGAGGATCAGAATTATTTCAATGCGATAAAAA